CCACCCCGCCTTCTCCTCTTTCTCAGAGCAGCTGTTTGTCCTGGGCCGTAAGGTAGACGCCATCATCCGGGGCAACGTGCCCATCTTTCCGCGGGAGATCGAGGAGAAGGTCAATCAGTGCCCCGGCATCTGGAAGGTCAAGGTCGTCTCGCTCAAGGACGACAAAGGGATCATACAGGTTTATATATCTTTATATATCCGAGCACCATTCTTCAACACTGAGGAACGATGATTCACTCATCGGTGAAGGAAGTCATAGCAAATGCTGTCTGTGGAGTACTTACATTTAAGTTTACTTTATCCTTCCTATGGTATCCTTAGGATGTCGAGGGGAAGTGCAAGTTTCTGTCCTATGCTAGGTGTGTAACGTCTGTGATAGGCCTAGATATGTTATGTTGTTCCAGGAACTTTTTAACCCCATCCTTCCAGGTCTTTCTTGGTCTTCCTCTTGATTTGATGAAGCTGGATTCTTATGTTATAAGCTCTAGCCGCTGGTTGTTTCTGGGGCATTCTGGTTAGATGTCCAAACCATTTGATTCTTTGACGCTCTATGAATTTTTAAACTAGTGGTATTCCAGTTTGTAGACGTATGGTTTCGTTTCTTATGCGGTCTCTTCTGGTGGCGTTGATGGTTTTGCGGAGACACCTCATTTCGCCATCATTGATTTTTCTGTCTTGTGTCTGTGGTGTTAAGTCAGTAAAGTAAACGAGGGCAATCTTGTTGAGAGTACGGCTGATGGAGTTTGGAGATCATATAGTACACATCCTATGATGGCATTATTGCTAACAGTCTGGGAGAAATAAGGGAGAGTGCTATTATACGATGAAGGATAAATATTTTCATGCTTTCTTTAATTTTCTCTGAATCTTTTAATTTCTGTTTTGAGCGAACTGTTTTTCAATATAGTGGAGGTCATTTGAAAGATTGGCTTCAGCAGAATTAACCCCGTTCTCCGAAAGAACACGCCTGGAGTCTTAAAAAATTCCTATTCCCCCTCTCTCCTCATAGGTTATGGTAGAGAAATGTGTTACAAGACTTGTCACCCCCTCTTTAGGCTAATGCTTATTTTTTATCATGAAAAGTATACTTTAGTTACACACTAGTTGAGGTTTACAAAAGTGTTCTGTTTCTGCTCCTTGGCCAGATGTGCGCATGCGTCATACCGAGAAACGATGACGCTATCACCATTGACAGAGTGAAGGAATTTTGTCGGTAAGTGAGCAGAACAGGAATGAACAGACCAGGAATGTAGAGGCGCAGGCTGGACACTGGGTCTGTGGGTTTAGAATATAATATTGCCACCTGAAGATGACTTTACTTTTACTCTACTATCATCCGCCGCTTATAGACCCTTTTGGGCGTCGCGGGAAGAAAGAGACGTCTCCGTGCCACCAGCCGGAGAGCTTGGATCAGGGGGATGCCTTGAGTTGTTTTTTTTAAATCTTTTTTTTATTCCCTTGCCCATTTCTATGAGATTGACGCCATCTGATTAGTAGAAAAAAAGTGCATATGATTGTGTCCAATAGTGTATTACATGC